CCGAGCACAGCCACGTGGAGCATGGCCATGCGTGCTGGCGGCTCTGCAATAGAATCCCTGGATCCAGACTTCCTCACTTCCAGGTTAAACGCAGAGCAGGGAGGGAAATCTGGCGATTCCCAGCTCTGCACTGGGCCAAGGTGTCTAGAAACCACACCAGTTATAGAAAGCAGATGGCCTTTGGGAGGAAGATCAGGCTGTTGAATGCAGAACTTTGCATGGAAAATCAGGGAGAATTAATGCAGCAGATAATTGATTTGTGTGAGTGAGATCCAGATGTTTATCTATGGAGATCAGGCAGACTGTGGGGCAGAGCCAGTGCTGATGGAGGCTAATTTTCAGCTTTGGAAACCTGCATACATCAATACATGTGCATAAACATGCAAATAGAATCATAGAATCCCAGACTGGTTTGGGTTGGAAAGGACCTTAAGATCATCCAGTTCCAACCTGCCATGGGCAGGGACACCTCACACTAAACGATGTCACCCAAGGCTCTGTCCAACCTGGCCTTGAACACTGCCAGGGATGGAGCATAAACCACTTCTTTGGGCAACAATAGGTGGACATACACTGATATAATTCCCCAAATCTGCTTCAGTCAATTACATGTAATTCACTGTTTTTAGTATCACAGGCTTGCTTTGCTTGTGGACAGATTTAGATAGAATGAGACATACACCTTTTTGCCCGAACACCCATATTTCTGTGCAGAAATACGTGGCCTTAAGGCTGATGGAGAGGGGATGAGGTTTAATCCAGTTTGTCCATTTTATTATTACTGGTTGACTCCTGAATTCTCAAATGACAGCTGTGTGGTTTGAGGCTGTTCTTCCTTTTCACTTCCTTCTTATCATGTGCTGTAGAGTTTCTCGATCTTCATTGCGATGGACGCAGTTGGTCGTTCCCTTGTCAAATGTCAGGTAGAAAAGAGGACGCCATGGGTTGAAAGGGTTGGTTTTGGGTTTGTTCCCTTCCCGTTTCACATGGTTTATAGAATGGTTTTGCTGGGAAATAGCCCCAGTGAAATGTTAATCTGTGGCAGAGCAGACTTTGGACCGACTGGCTGGGGCAGGGCTAGGTGCCAGAGATGCTCACAGCTCCTTGGAGAGCTCAGCCTGGAGGGCTTGGGTCTCCTTCCCACATTGCAGAAGAGCAAGAGGGGAAGCAGAGCCTCTGCATCAGGTCTGCACTCAGCAGGACTCTCCCCTAGGGTGAAAACACCTCCAGAATGACAATCCACATTTATATCTGTGGCCATGGGGGGACCAGTCCATCAGAGGAGCTGAGGAGGTCACTCCTTGGAAGCTCCTCAAGCAAGTTCTCCTCTTGGCTGACTTATTTTTGCTCTTTTCTCCCCCAAAACGGGCAGGAGGAGGAAGAGGAAGCAAAGCTGCTGACTCGGGGAAACACAACGAGAAGGAGGAGGGCTGTTGAGCAGCAGAGGGCTGTGTCTACCCGTGGTCCTCCGTGCCTGGCCCGATGCAGTGGTGGAGCGTTGTAGCAATAGCCGTCCACTGGCAGCCTCCCCTAGCACACTGTAGGTTGTGTTGCAGGGGTCCCTGTGGGGCTGTGCTAAAACACCACCAAACCAACAGCTCCTCCAGCACGTCTGCTCCCCAGAGAGCTAAATATAAACTGATCAGGCAAAGGGAAGGGAATTTTCCATCCTGCTACTTACTCATCTGGGCCTGACGGGGCAATCAGTCTTCCTGGGCAAGGCTCCCTGCTTGAGCCCGCTCCCCAGCACAGCTCTCTATGGAGATGAGACCTTCCATAAATTCCTTGGAGGAGGTCAGAGCAACCCTGCTGCACTCAAGTATCCCTATGAGCAGTGTTGTAATGTGAAAAAGGACTTTTCCAAGGTCACAGTGCACCCGGCTGCCCACGACCCGGCTGGGTGTGCAGAGCAGCAGTGCAGAGCGTGGCTCTGGTGCGGTGAATCGGGGAGCAGATCCACGGGCTGGTTTGTTTTTCCAGACTTTATGAGTTGGCTGCCTCCAGAGAGACAAGAATTCCCAAGCAGGAGTTGTTTCTGAAGGCCTGCCAAGCTGGTGTGAGCTCTGATAGCGCAGGCTTGCATGTGGGAGCCTTTAGTCATCAACTGGCGAAGTGGGCATTGAGCATTAAGTGTCATCATGGAGTTAATTTAACGCAAGCGTTTGTTCTGGCTTCAGGTGGTTGATCCATGAGTCAAAGCCTGTGAAGTTTGATATGGTTCATATGTAAGATACCACATCTTATGCATCTATCTTGAGAGGGGCTTTGGACAAGGGCCTGTAGGGACAGGACAAGGGGAAGTGGCTTTAAGATGAAATAGGGTAGATTTGGATTAGACATTAGGAATAAATTCTTCAGTATGAGGGTGCTGAGGCGCTGGCACAGGGTGCCCAGAGAAGCTGTGGCTGCCCCATCCCTGGCAGTGTTCAAGGCCAGGTTGGACACAGGGGCTTGGAGCAAGCTGCTCTAGTGGAAGGTGTCCCTGCCTGTGGCAGGGGTTGGAGCTGGATGAGACTTAAGGTCCCTTCCAACACAAAGCAGCCTGGGATTCTGTGCTCTAGCATGTGCTATATAAGACAAATAAGATGAGATATGTTAGAAGTTGAAGTGCATGGAAGGAGGAGCCTGCATCAGACTGACCTGGAGGAGCCCCAAAGCCTGCATGAAGTGTGGCTGCTCCGGCACCACAGGCTGTGGGTCCCTGCACCCATGGGTAGGGGAGCACTCAGGCAAGTTTGTCTCCATAATTGCCATATTTGAGTAGTATTTTAAGAACTGGTTGAGCCAGTGCAAAAAAAAACTGTTCTGGTGCATTGAGTTTCTGTGCATTTTCCCTAAACCAAAAAGCACCCAAGAGAAACTTGGTCATGGTTTTTGCTTTTGGAGGATTAAATATAGCAGCATCATTGGTGTCACTCCTCTGTAGTCCATTTGAAGCATCCCTTGGGCTGTATCATTCCCTATATTCATGGATCTTGGCCATAGCTTTTGCTTTCAGCAGCCAAATTTCAGGGCTTGTGCTGTGCGGTAGGTATGGGACCGGAGCGAAAGAAGAGTTTCACTTTGTGGCTGTTTTGTGCTATATATCGTTACGTCTCCAAGGGTTTGTAAAGATGGAATCTGGCAAGCTCTGATCCAGCAGCTGGAAAGCCTGCTTTCCCTCACTGCTCAAAACCAGCCCTCAAAAGCAAGGACCAAAAAGCTTTCTGATGGCAGAGGAGAAAAGGGGCTTGGGGTGACGGTACAGGACATCGCTGCTGTCAAGGTGCATTGGTGTCTAGTCTGGACTGGGGGGTCAAGATATGCACCCTGCATCCTGCTTCTAAATGCAAGGGCTCCTCAGGGACAAATGGAAACACGTTATGCACTTAACTTGCGTTTAAGAAACTTCTTTTCTGTCCTTGATGCTCCTCTGCCTCAGTTGCCCCAGTTGTTCCACTGCTGTTATCGCTATTCTGCACCACTGGGAAATGTTAGGGAAGGAAAACTGTTAATGAAGACAACTGGTCATGTCTCTGCTTAGGACAGCTGGGGTTATTCAGCCTGGAGAGTCTTCTAACACCTAAAGGGGGCCTGCAGGAACTCTGGAGAGGGGCTTTTTGCAAGTGTATGTAGGGATAGGAAGAGGTGTGATGGCTTTAACCTGCCAGAGGGGAGATTGAGATGAGCTCTTAGGCAGAAGCTCTTCCCTGTGAGGGTGCTGAGGCGCTGGCACAGGGTGCCCAGAGAAGCTGTGGCTGCCCCATCCCTGGCAGTGTTCAAGACCAGGTTGGACACAGGGGCTTGGAGCAAGCTGCTCTAGTGGAAGGTGTCCCTGACCATGGCAGGGGATGGAGCTGGATGAGCTTTAAGGTCCCTTCCAACACAAATCAGGCTGGGATTCTAAGGCAGCCTAGCAGCACAGTTAGGCCGGGTGCTGGTAGCTATTTTTTGTTCCAAGTGATGTTGGAAAGTTGCAATGACTGAGTTTTGTATTTGTGTGCTTACATGTACGTTACTGAAAACAGCCTCCTGGTGTGCTGCATAATAGTGGTCGATGCTGTAAAATCACTTCAAGTATATATTAACCCCATTATCTCATGCTTTCTTTGTCCAAGCTGTTAGAAATGAATACTTTTGAAAGGGCAAGTTTTAATACTGTTCAATAGATGCCAAAAGCTACAATTGTGTGCCAAAACTGAAGATCCGTTGCAATTATAAAGATACAGAAAGTGCTAAAACCATCCACATTCAGTTTTGTTTCCTCTTCATTAATTTAGGTAAAGATTGGCTCACTATTGGGCTATCAGTTGTGTTATAATTGGAATACAGTGTGGTGGATGGTACTTCCTGGAGTAAAAGCATCATGGTTAATGAAGACTTAGTTACTATAGAATCATAAAATCCCAGCCTGGTTTGGGTTGGAAGGGACCTTAAAGCTCATCCAGCTCCAACCCCTGCCACAGGCAGGGACCCCTTCCACTAGAGCAGCTTGCTCCAAGCCCCTGTGTCCAACCTGGCCTTGAACACTGCCAGGGATGGGGCAGCCACAGCTTCTCTGGGCAAAAAGCTCCATTTAGAGACTCTCACCCACTTTTTCAGTTGCCCATGGTTCACGTTGTTGATAGGTTACTTTTCCCATGGAGGTTTTGGGTTAGTTATTAAGTGTTTTAAACTTAATTTAACAAAGAATCCAACTGTCCAATGTGATGGATTGTGCTGTCAGTGCCCTTCCTGTGCCTATCTTTTGTGTACCCCTTGGATACACCATGAAGGCGGCAGGTTTAAAAGGGGCTGTGTTAGATCCAAACCAAGATCCCATCCAGCCTGTGGAGGGGCTGCTTTGCAACCTCCCTTCTGGTCCTCACTGTGCCACCCCAGTGACTGTGCTGGGACATGATGGGAATGCAGCAACAAACTTAGACAAAGGGCATTGAGGCAGGAGAGTCACGCTCCTGGTGACTGCTCCATGTATCGTATCACCAGTTTTAGTAGTCCTCTGAATTAATTCTTGCTGGAGCATGTCTTCTAGAAAAGCCATCCAGTGCAGAGATGCAGACAGAGTGCTGATGGAGAACCCACCGCAGCCATTTGTTCTGCTGGTCATTTATTGCATGGGCTGTTCAGGAGCACGTTGCACTTTGCCCTCACTTGGAATCTGCGTAGTTCTGACTTCCCACAGCGCTGGGTGCTGTACTGCTGCTCTGCTCCCTCTGAAGGACCTGCTTGGACCTTCTTACTTCTCTGAAGGCAGCCAGGGTGTCCCTGAGCAGTTAACATTTCCCCCATGGAGCTGTACCTGTGTCTTAGGTGCTCCTCAGTTACTCCTGGGATCTTCAGACCTTAATCAGACTTTACTTAAGGCTCTAGTAGTGCCTGAGTGCAGTGCCTGTAATGGTTGTGGGGTGCAGAACACACAGGCAATGCCATCTCTTATCCTCCCGGAGATCTCACATTTATCCAGCCCATGGTCCCATCTCCCACGTGCCTGTGCAGTGCTGGAGCCTGGGGATGTGCCCCTGTCTTTGAGGTTTGTGTCTTTTAAGCAATATGTTTCTTAAGCAGTATCTTTAATGGCTTTTAAGTTTTAAAGAGGGGAGACTGAGATGAGCTCTTAGGCAGAAGTTCTTCCCTGTGAGGGTGCTGAGGCGCTGGCACAGGGTGCCCAGAGAAGCTGTGGCTGCCCCATCCCTGGCAGTGTTCAAGGCCAGGTTGGACACAGGGGCTTGGAGCAAGCTGCTCTAGTGGAAGGAGTTGGAGGAAGGAGCTGCCTGTGGCAGGGGCTGGAACTGAATGAGCTTTAAGGTCCCTTCCAACACAAACCAAGGCTGGGATTCTAGGATCTTAACATCTCCATTAAAACCATGCTGCTTGTTTCTCTCCATTCTGTATTGTCACTTTGTTCTCTGCCAGTCTTGAGTCACTTACACAGCACTGATTTTCCCCTTTCCTACCCAATTGTTGCCAGAAATACTACATGGCAGAAGGTGAAAGCCCAGTTTCTGTTGAAGCCGGTTTATTTGCAGGCCTGTCTGAGATGTGTCAGTGAAGTAGTTATCGATAACTGTCACCCATGTCTGTGCGCTCTGATGAAGTCTGTTGTACCAGCACTCCCCTCTCCCAGCACAAAGGCATCAGTGAGCTGAGAGCTCATTTCCCTATGTTGGTAATTGTGCTTCCTGGCTCCCCGTCCTTGCACAGAAACCTGAGCTCTGCAGGGCTCCTTCTCAGGGCTGTGCCTGTCCTCTGGGAGCATCGGCGGTCACAGCTCCGGAGGGGTTTTGGCAGGATCTTATAAACTTTGAAGGTGTAAATTATTCGGAGCTATTGTTTAAGGAAGAGCTATATTTAGTGCCTGCTGTTTAATATCATCCCCAGTTACTCCTGACAAACCTGACCATATCATTCTACTTTCTCCTTAGCGTGGTGTTAAAGTATATATTGACTGTTTCTTGCTTTTCTGCTTCATGCATGGTGTTCCTGCCGTTCTTTCTGATTGAGCAATGTTGTCAGTATTGTCCTTAATGTCTAGAAAAGGATCTGTGCCTTGTTTCGTAGGATCCTAGCATGGTTTTGGGTTGGAAGGAGTCTTAAAGCTCATCCAGTTCCAACCCACTGCCATGGTTTCCTAACAGACTGATGTTTAACTTGCATCCCCATGCGTTTTAAGGTGGTGGTGTTATTTTAAGGGCTTCATAATGAGTGACAAACTCTAGGATCCATTAATTCCTTCACTCATTAGCGTAGGAAGTTGCTATGTATTTTTCCATGGGATGAAGGTGGACATTTTTGCTGCCCTGTTCGTACTGGGCAATCATTCATGTTTGTGCACTGGCGCTGTTCCCTTCCCGATAGCCCACTGGAAGCTCTGGAGCCAGGATGGGATGCAGCATGATTTAGGTCAGTTCTCCTCAGGATGCTTCCTGGTTCACACCACGCTGCTGCTGGGACCAGACCTCTCCGTCCTTTGGGCTTCTCATTTGCACAGCACAAAGGAATCTGTTTCTCCTCCTAATTTTCACCTTTGAGGTGGGAGAAAGAGGGATATATGGAGACTACCCAGAGATGGAGACTCTTGGGGTGGAAAATGAAGCTGGGTTTTTTTTCCCTGACTTTACTGCATGTTCACACTGCCATAAATGAGCTCGAGGAAGGCTGGGCAGGATGGTGTTTCTGCCAGCCCAAATAAAAGCAGGGACTGTTTTCATTTCCACTTACTTTCTTATTTTTAACCCTTTTTTCCCCCATCTCCAAGATGAGCTGCAAAATCTGGGCTTTTATGGCTGCCAAGCTACAGTGGGGCTCATCCTGCCCTGCTCCTGCTGCATGGGAATTGGGCATCCCCAGGGAATAAAGCATACTAACACTGGGAATATTGTCTTCTGCAAGAATTACTTGTCTGCGCTGTGGGTACCTCTCTTTGGGGCACTGAGAGGCAGCTCATTGTACCCCATGGAATGGGGGAAGGCATTTCACTGCCCTTCCCTTGGCGGGCACCCGAAGGAGCCAAACCTGCAGGAGGTTTGGGCTCTACGTGCTGCTGACACCTCGCAGGAGTTCACAGTGTGTTAGAGCAACAGATTCTCGATTATTCCAGTCTCCCTGCTATATTAGAAGCTGAAACCCAAGTCCAAGCTCTCAATGAATGACTCCGTGGAAATGCTGTCGGGCACGTTTCGGTGCTGCTTTGGCTTTGATTTGAATGGGTAAACATGGTGAGAGGGTGTTTGCTTTGACTTCTTCCTTGTAGCGAAAGGCTTCTTTTGAGGGAAGGTGAAGCCTCCAGTGCTACTCCTCATCACAACATTCTGCCCATGGCTTGGTGTTGGCGATGCCTTCCTGGCATGCTTGGGCCCCAGGCTTGCCCAGCAGCAGTGAAAAACTCCAGTTTCAGGGATGCTTTGTGCCCAGGGCTCTGCTCACCAGTGTGAATAACCCTCACAGAATCCAGTTCTCCTGAATGGAGCATCATCATCCCAGTTTGGATGATGCTGCAGGGCATCCTTGGCTTTTGAAGGCATCTCCCTCTGCTTGTCTCACACTCTTAAGCTCTGTTCCCTTTGAAGCTTCCCAAAATTCTACAAGGATGCTGGGGAGGGACTCTTCATCAGGGACTGTAGCAATAGGACAAGGGGTGATGTGTTAAAACTGAAACAGGGCAAGTTTAGGTTAGATATAAGGCAGAAGTTCTTTACTGTGAGGGTGCTGAGGCGCTGGCACAGGGTGCCCAGAGAAGTGATAAATGCTCCATCCCTGGCAGTGTTTAAGGCCAGGTTGGACACGGGGGCTTGGATGACATGGTCTGGTGTGAGGTGTCCCTGCCCATGGCAGGGGGTTGGAACTGGATGATCTTAAGGTCCTTTCCAACTGAAACCATTTTTGATTCTGTGATTCTATGCATCAGGTTTACATGTCAGAGACAGCCTTTGCCTTGTGGTGGGCAGTTGCTGGAGGAGGCAGGGTGGATACAGCCCATCTTCTCCTTACCCTGCTGCCTTAGGAAGAGCCCTCCTCTCCTCCTCACACATTCCCCATCTCCACCAGCACTATGAAAACCAGCTCCTTGGCAGCCCATGCACATAGGAACTGTCTTGTGGTAACAGATTGTTATGTATTTAATGAACCCGAGGAAAACAAGAGATTCGAAGGCTGCGGGGTGATACAAGTTTGCTGTTCAGTCTGCCAGATTCACACTAATTCAGACAACTCGCAGATGTTTGGCTCCTCGTTCCTTAAAGAGATTTATGGAAGATGCAGGCCTTGGAAATCCATTCCCAGTGTGCTGGAGAGATGGAGGTGGCAGCGTGGGCAAAGGTTTCCCAGCCCCAGAGGATTCCTTCCTTCCATGGCCGTGCCGCTGCTGTACCTTCCTCTTGCCAATGTTGATGGCAACGACTGGACAAACAGCAGGGAAATGTGCCTTGCAGTCGCTGGGAGGATTACTAAAGGCTTTAGGTTTGTCTTTCAGGAGCCAAGGAGCTCTTTGAAAGCTATTTCTCAGCTGAGGAATGAAACCCCAGAGGTTGCCCAAGAGCCAGAGTGCTTTTGTCTAATGCAAACAGCGGCCTCATAGGGTTTGCAGGCGGTGGCGGGTACGTGTTGTACCCTCTGTGGGCACAGAAGCTGTCTGGGGGAAGCATTTGGGACTCTTAAAGTGTTGCCTGCCTAGTTCAGGTAGATCACTTCAGGTTTGGAAGGTCCTAAGTGATCATTTTGCTGGGCTTCAAGTGATGGTTCTGCACTCTTGAGGTATTTATCCATGAAGGAGAAATGGTAGGAGATGATGTGAAGTCTGGCAATCAATGCATACACCCAGTAGTGCCCTGCTTTAAATTCGGGTCATTCTTTAGGGGCCTTCAGCCTTTACCAGCTCTCCATCTCAGCCTCAAAAAGGGAGAAACCTGACTTGCAAGCAGTATCCAAATCTATTCTGAGAGCAGTGATGTTCTTGCATTTGTCAAGGTTTCCTCAATTGCACTATGAGATGTCCCAGATCTTGCTCGTGCTTGGTCCATGCGATGGGCTTTTGGTGGTCAGTGATGAGCAAAAAGCATCACAGTCACTTTGCAGCCCCAAGATGTGCTTCTTACAGAGACCCCAAGAGCTCTGGAGCAAGGAGGGAAGCCCAGGCTGGCCAAGAAACCCCCTTAGCCCTCTGAGCATTATTACCTGGCTGTAAGTAGGTGAACATTGTGTTACAGAGGTAGGCATTAATGTGCTATTTGGAACTGTTTATGCTTGAGAAGCGAGTCAGTAGAAGTGGCATGGTGAGGCTGTGTTTGCTGTCTCCATCTCAGCCATTTCAGGTTGTATATGGGCAAAGAACATAAGGAAGAAACAAGAACTAGTGGGTTTTGTGTCTGTTTACTAGACAGCACGCTCTGAGAGGTAATTAAAAGTAAACTGGACTCTGCTGGCTTGTTCAGCATCCCTGGTTGTTGAGATTAAGCAGTAGAGCAATTCTCAATTCAGCAATTCCTCAGCTTTTGGGAGCGTGGCCAACACTCACAGTGTCTCACAGAGCACTGCAGATTCTTGTCGTAAATCTCACAACTTGGGGGGGAAGCAGAAAGGTGAGATGGTTTGCGAGACCTGCTGCTGCTACTTCAGCTGCTCTGCTTCACAGACAACCCTTGGTCCAGTATTTCCAGTATTCCTTGGAAATACTACTCAAAATTGGAGCAGATTAGGCAATGATTGCAGGTTTGCTTGAAGAGAATGTGCCATGTATACAGTTGTTTGGACTAAGAGCATCCTGTAGGATACTTTGTCCATATGGTGCCCTGCCAAAATACTGGCAGTGTGTGTCTCCAAACCAGTTGTGCTTCCTGGGAGGGCTGCATTCCCGTGGGGCCAGTCCTGCTGGGCTCATGGGGCTGAGCTTTGCTTTGTGTTGCTCCCAGTGCTACAGTGGGTCTGTGTTAAGTTGGCCCCAGCCTTGCTCCATGGCAGAGCGATGTGCTGAGAGTGCACCCTCAAGCTGGACATCAGTCCTGCATGTGGCCAAGGAGGGAGTGTTCAAGGCCAGGT